CTTAGTCATATGGTTTAGTTTTAGGTAGTCCTGCGAGGAGCAGGGAGTTGGACTCGATGATCCTTACGGGTCCCTTCCAACTTGAGATATTCTATGATTTTATGATTATGCCAGTGTTCCGTATTTTTTAGCACTCTGTGTTACTGGATCACCTAGCAGTACAAATGGGATGCTGATGACATCTTAGACACAGTCACATTTCCATTAAATTAGTAGAAAATGCTGACTGCTGGAGGTAGATTGACTATTCCTGATTCAGCATGAAATTAGAGCAGCATATACAAACCATAGTTTTTCTGGTACAAAAACTTTGATACGAAATCTACTTTTTTTTCTTTCTCTTCTTTTTCTTTCTCTTCTTTTTCTTTCTCTTCTTTTTCTTTCTCTTCTTTTTCTTTCTCTTCTTTTTTCTTTTTTTTTTAAAAAAAATTGAATTAAATAATCAGTTATTTCTAAACAGATTTTAACTTGAAGACTGGGCTTGCTTTCTGTTTAACATTTTCTATTCTATCACTGAGGTTAGTGTAGCACATGTTTTAAGTTCATGGAAGTCTGGCTGGTTTTGTGTCAGTAGTCTGCCAAAATGTTTACATGCATATGATAATTCCAGTGAACCAGTTATTTGAGACTACTGTGTAAGAATATTTTTATATATACGTATATTACCTTGGTTGAAGTAAATTATGTTAGCTGTTTATAAATGTTGACAGTCTGCAATTTGTGTACTGTAGAGGATGCTACTGTTCTAAATGAACAAACTTTTGTCCTGTTGTAGTAAACTGGCCTTATAATTATTTTTGAGTGTATAATCGTATTGATAGGATCAGTAATCAGTTCTCAGTTCACTGTTCAGACATACCGAGAAATCGGTGTTCAAATGGAACTGATTACTGTGCACATTGTGTTATTTGTACAGAAATCAGACAAGTGCTACACTAAACTGACAAGTGCAAATTGCGGTGTTTAAGGGTATGCAGTGCTGTGAAAACAGGAGACTTAGTTACACACATGAGCAGTGGTTTGCAGGACTGGACGCCACATGTTTGCTAGGTGCATGCTTTTGACTTTATTAAAGACTGTTGCTGATAAGCTCTGCGGTGTTAAAGAATGCAAATTGAAGAAGTATAAACCTGTTGCATGTTAGCAAATGATTTTCCTGTTGATTTTGCTGCCAGTTGAAAGTAGCACCAATTTTAATATTTTGTTCGTTTATATGAAATGAAACCACATTGGTTTCATGGCATAGTAACATACTGTAGAAATGTATGTAGATGTTGTGTAGTTTGAGGGAAATATTTCGGGTCTTTTGTATATATTTGAAACATTTTTAGTGCTTACTGCTTCATTCATTGTCTTTGTCAAAGTTCACTACGTAGTATGAGTTCATACTAGGCTGCATCTATGGCAACTGTATATTCTATAGTTGTTTGATTTTAAATGTCCAAATTTTTCTTCCAGAAAATGAATTGCGAAGCAAGAAATCCATAAATATTTCACACATCTTGAAAAGATTCTGACTAGAAGAGGTCATGCTATAACTCCAGTAGGCGGCATTCATATTAGTAGCTGTCCATTTTCTCTACATTTAGGCTTTGGAAAGCAACTGTTTTACATAGTGAGTTTCAGATGAATAATGGTATTGCCTTCTTTCCTTCTCTTCCCTACATACAATGCAAGAAATCGTCAACAATGGGCAGCCAAATGTTACTTGAATTGGGGCATATTTGTTTTGTTAACTTTACTCATGCTGACAGCTAACCTCACACTCTTCTCAAATGCCTTGCCTAGAGATCCTGACCTTGAAAGCACGACTTCCTTACTATGGTGGTGCTCCGAGAGTTGATATTCCATGCTCAGTACTAAGAGTAATAAGGCATAACACGAATTTTAAACTGCAGTTTGGTGAAATTCTGTAAATCAATAACACCAGTCTCGTTCCCCATCTACCCTCAATAAAAAAAAATAATTTAAGCATGTATTAAATGTCTTTATGATAGGATTACACATTTCTCATATTGCAAACAGGAAATAGTTCAAGCAGGGCATGACTATATTTCCTAAGTACAGTAAATAACATGAAAACTGGGTTCTATTTCACAGCAAACTCATGCTAAGCATTCCTTAGAGTTTGTTCTGAAATGACTGAGTCATGACTTTTTGCTCTAAGTTATTTTTTAGAGATATCTTTGCAGCTCAACATTTCAAGAATATTTTTAATATTATACATTTTTATAAAAGTTGTTGGTTAAAGCTACTTTGAAATTAAGTCTCTTTAAATGTTTAAATGTCACTTCTGTTTTCAAGCCACAGATTGCTTAACTTCAGTACTTACTATTACTGTCTATTTTCAAAGCTGAAGTAATTTGTTGAAATGTGAATCATGCCAGAGTTTAGTTGTTTAAAGGTTGCCTCATCTAAATGATGTTGAAGCAGAAAGACTGAATTTAAAGGAATAGATTCTCACTAACTAATAATTAACTAATGTTTTGAGCACATTCCAATATGTGCAATGGACTTAGCCCTCATGGGGATCAGAATTGCAGTTTTAAATATTTTTCAAAGTGGTAAATCGTAGGTTTTCAACTAAGACATTTAAGTTGTCTGTTGTTACAAATTGGTTGCTTTTCTCCTGAGGCAGATGTGGTGTTACCTTTGAAAATGATACCTTCCTCTCTGGTCTGGCTTTTGTGGACTTCTCTCAGGGCAATACACATGTCCTTGGTTTTTCTGCACCTATTAGATTAACGTGGTCCAGCTGGTGCTTCTGATATAACAGCACTATAAAACTTAAACCATGTCCAGACATCTTCAAAGTTGTCAAGAGGTAATTTTCATATTCCCCATATTGACTTTCAGGAAAAATTTGGAAAGAAAAATAAGTGATGAATAATAGTTTTTTAAGTTAGACTTGTGATACAGTGTATTTAACTTCTACCTTTGTTATTGGCAAAAATATTTGATAACATTATGCTGAGTATGCACTTCCTATAATAAAACGATGGATTTCAAACTTCATATTTCATGTGTATTTATTACAAGAAAACAGTGTAAACCAGTAATGCAAATGCTTTCTTCATTGTTATCTTCTTACCAATTGCATGTTCATACAGAATTAATTGTTGGGCAATATTTTCGTATGCCATTTCAGTATAAACACTTTCTTTGCTTTCTACCGTCCATTACCCATAACACCTAAGATATCCTTAAGAAATATGTTGCCAAAGGCAGTGTTTTCCGTTGATTATTATGAAGTTTGCCTCTTCCTCTATTGAAACCAGTGGTGAAACTCTTCTGGACCTCAGTGCGAAAAGGATTTTCCAAAAGCAGTAATGAATTGTTTTAATATGTAGTGTATTTGCACTGATGACATAGATCTAGTTTAATATAATAGCATTTTGTCAGATGTTGAAAATGGACAAAGTAACTTTTTTTTAACACTTGAGATGTTCTGTGGTGTTCTTTTTTTGGATTGTGCAACAGGTTTTTGCTTGCATATAATAGAAGTGGGAAAGGTACTCTAAGCTTTGGCTTTAGCAAAGAAGGTGCAGAGAGAGACTGATACCATATCCCTTTTCCAGCTTCAGAGTGTTAGAGTAGTACCCTTTTATCAACAGATTTTTTTAAATTCCCATTTACTCCAAAGCAGATACATGCTGCCTAAGGCATACAACTGACAGCTTCCTAGAAGAATGTCTGCTTGCTGGGAGACTGGATCATTGGATTCAGTTCTGTTTTATCACAGCAGTCCTGATGCATAATAATTACTCATAAACTCTCCTTCAGATTAATTACATTGTCTCAAGTTAGTCTAGAAAAAGCAAAACTGATTAGTAAATCAGGCACTCACAAATTTGGTGACAACAGTCTCCAGTACCTCTGATATGTTCTTTAAAAACAAGGTAAAGTTTTGAAGCATAGTGTTGCCAATAAACCAGTTTTTCTAAATAAGCTAAGTGGATAAGGATTAACATGAGTGGTTGTTAGGATGTTGTTCACATTGAAATGAATTTCCACTGGCATTGTAATGACAGCAGGATTGCATCTTTTTAGTGGTACTCATATTAATAACTAATTGTGAAATATGTATTTCAGTATACTTTAGTATACACGTTAATGTTGAAAAGCACATCATGATATGCTTTTTATCACAAAATGCTATGTGATGGGATGCTAAGGATACAAGGATGGTCAAAGGAAGGGGAATTGTGTATGTGTGGTAGGTAGATTCAATTAGTATATTGTGTATTTTCAAGACACTGAAGGCCGTGCAGGAAGCTACTGATTACAGATACATATATCCTTGATTTTCTCTCTCCCTTTTTTTCCTGCAGGGCGAAGGCTTTTCGTGGAAAAAAGGTCCATGGAGAATATGACATAAAGGTTGAACAGGTAACTAAATAACTTAATCTGAATGTTATTTTTATATTTGTGTATTTATACATATATATGTATGTATGTATGTGTAAATACATACCTCCCTGGAGGTATTTCAAAGACGTGTAGACATGACGCTTAGGGGACATGGTTTAGTGGTGAACTTGGCAGTGTTAACGGTTAGACTCGATGATCTTAAGGATCTTTTCCAACCTAAATGATTCTATGATTCTATATGCATATATGTATAGATAGATACATAGTCCTTTCTACTTCAAAAAAACCTCACAAGTTAAGTAGAATACTCAAAGATTTAATTATGTTTCATTCTAACGTGGCTCTTTTTAGAGGATTCTGACCATAATTTGCACAAGATTAAAAACATACTGTATTCAAAAGTTGTTGCTTACTGTGAATTTCCCAGACACTCCATGAATTACATGTTGCATTTCTGTATCACTAATTCCTTTACTTAAGAATATACGTACACTCTGGTTGCAGTGCTAGCATGTGGGTTTTTTAAAAAAAAGCACTGGATAAATATGGAGATATAATTCAGGGTGTATTAGAATTGTGGCTATTTTATTTGAGATAGCTGTCTGAAGCTAGGGAAGTAAATAAGTCTTTTCAGTGCTTTTCAGTCTTGAATTCGACGAATAGGTGCTACTGTAAGAAGCTTCAGTACTTAAACTGAATTGTTTTGTCTTTGGAATTTCGAAGAGTGAGGGAAAATTATCACTAGCTGTGTGGATTCAACTTACGTAAATTCACTGTAATAGTACAGCATCTAGCTTTGCTCCATTCTTTACACCATTGAATATCTGCTGATGTTCTTGGCTTGGAAACATGGAAAGCTCTGCCAGGGATCTTCAAGAGTATTGAGGGAGAAACGGGAAAAAGAAGACAAGCTATTTTGTCCCAAAATATCGTTTACACCTAGATCAGACCATGCAGTTGACATCATGCACACTGTCTCTTTAATATTAACAAAAGCTCTGTGTAAGCTTAGAATTTCCTTCATATGGTCTGTTGTAGGACCAGAACCACCTTTAATCAGTAAGAGATTGAAAGTCTCTGAACCCTACTAATCACTTTGTAACCCATCAACACTATGACAATTGTATACAAATAGTTATTAACAACTACTTTAGTGTTCTTTTGCTAATACCAGAGAGCATTATTTTATTTTTCTACTACTTACAGCAACTTCTTTGTAGCATACAATATTTTGTCATGTACTAAACTTCTAAACTACAAAATCTGTATTGTGTATCCTTGTAATTGTTTAATATGAATTATTAATTGGAGAGATCAGTTGTCAATCTCAGATTAAATAGATTTTAAATGATTCTTTAACATTGTCAGCACTTATACAATATTTCAATCTCTCACCATTTGCACTGTTTTTACAATAATGTTAAAACTGCCCCTCATGTTTAGAACATTGTAACACTGATCCAAGGAAGTATATAAGCATATGGGATTTAATGAAGAGACATCCATGCTGGAAACTAAGCACATACTTAAGCTATTGAGTTGGAACAGTAGTTAGAGTAGTCAACACTTGCCTTAACTGAACACTAAATTCTGAAAGTCGTACACAGATTTTACTTAGGAAGACTTTCAGTGATACCATTTTTCAAGAGGAGACTAATGAGAATTCTGACACTCTCTATTCTGTCTTAGTGTCTGGGATAGCAAAGACGCTTTTATTTATCCACTAGAAGACAGTTGGCTGCATTTCAATTATTCTGCTGTGTAATGTTATTGTAAAGTGCCTTGAGAGTCTAAGCTGATGAAAGACTGTGGATAAATGAAAAACATCCTGTCCTTTCCTTTCAAATAACTGTAGATTCAGAGTATGGAAGTGATTCCTTTTAAATTCCACATTTCCAGTGGGAGAAGATATTTTGAAAAAGGTCTTTATTTGTGAATTTTGTGATTCAATCATTTATTAACACCAGATCTTTTAAAAAGAAGAGTAAATGTACATAAAGGAAATAGAAAGGGGTAAAGTATATGAAGAGACACTAAATGCGATAAGAAAATATTCTATTTATCATAGTTATTTTAACATTGCTTTTGTACTATTTTCTTCAAAACTTTGTGTAAATGTTTGTTGAGTCTGTATTAATCTCTTTGATAACACCATACAAAGCAAAAATATAATCTCTACACTTCTATGCAGACATGAATGAGGAAATACACTTGCTACTGCCCCATAATCCTTTTTCATGAAGTTTCTTGCTTTTTGCTTTCTTTGTATTAGAATTTATTCGAATGTGATGTGTCATAGGCAGCAAATACTGTTGGATTAATATTCTCTTAGTGCTCATTATATTCCAAATGCATCTTGTCAGCTGTTCAGATACTGGTACTTAAAATAAGGGATTTAGGAAAAGAAAGGTAAAATAAACCAGACTGACTAATGTAAGTCTTCTTTTCATAGGCAGAATTTTCAGAAGTCAACTTGATAGCCCATGCTGATGGCAATTATGCAGTAGATATCCAAGTATTTCGAAATGGCACTAAAGTTGTCAGGTAAGAAAAACTAAATAGAATAACAGCAAAAACCAATGAATGGCATCATGTATGCATGTAAAAGGTACTGAATGATTTTTTGTATATGTGTGATTGGGATTTTGACTGATGCAATGCACCTTGGTGATTGGCATGAAGAGTAGGAAATAAAGTATTTGACCGGTGCAGTAAGTCCTGTTTGTGACAGGAAGGAAATCTCTTGACATTTTGATCATGTGAAAGATGGATTTGATTAAGATGGGAATGAAATCTAGTATAAAGAACACATGATTGGGAGTTAGGGTTATTGATTTGGGCCTTATCTTTGCTACAGAAATAAAGACAGTCTTGGTGATTTCACACATGCCAGGCCTTTCCAGATGAGCAGTATTTATATCCACTGTTGAATATTTTCTATTGAAACAGGCCAAGTCGTAGCACATCTCTCAGGATAGTTACTGCAATATCACTCTCTGTTTGAAAGATTTAAACTTAAAAGCCCGAGATTTCCCAACAGGCTGTTTTGTTCAAAAAGGATTATTCCAATTGAAGGCAGGGTAATTTTACCATTTTTTTTCAGTGAGGACGTCAACAGCCCTGTAAATGTCAGGGGAGAAAACAGGGGTACATCTGGGCAAAGTAAAAGCTTAAGTAAGTGTTAGCAGAATTATTTCAGGCAGTCCTGTATTGTATCTAATTTGTGGGAATTATTCCTGTTTTGGCCAGTGCAGTAACATATGAGTTAAGTGTAGCAGTTGTTTAGCTAAGGAATCGCATTCAGAAAGGTAGATCAAGTCACTAACAGGGACCTAGTAGTTTACTGCTTATGTTTATCTTTAGGCAAGAGTAAGAGTTCAGGGAGTTGCAGAGCATACAGCATGTCTTGTATCTTTGTGTTTTTGCATAACATCTGTCCAAAGAAAAGATTTGAAGATTTCTACTCATTCATGTAAAAAAAAATCAGGGGAAAAAAATATTGAAAATAAGTGTACTTTATGCGTCAAAACTCACAACTGTTTAATCTCTTGGGTGTTCTAAAAATACTGCAGCTTAGTACAACAACCACATATGCCAAATGCACAAGATTATTTTCTTAGAAGAGTAAGAGATTTGATTTATTTTTATTTTTTTTTTTTTAGTTTTTGGGGTTTTTTTTCCCAATGATAGAAGTTTTGGAGCCAGGAAATCTTGATCACTGCTCCTTAGTGGCTTTTCTGTAGAGAATTTTCCAAACAGAACAAATATACTGTGGCCAAGTTAGCATCAAAACACGTCAATATTTCATGTGAGTTGGAAACCTCTAGAAAATAGCATCTACAAGGATGTATATTTGCAATTTATGAGAAAACTTGGTAAAGCTGCTGCTTATGTTAAGAAACAGAGAAATCTAGTTGTGTCATCAGATAACTCTCATAATGAGATGACAAAGGATTTTATGATATTACCAGTTTTATGGGTACTTTATTTAACCAAATAGAACTACCTGAAGTTGATAAATTTCACTCAAATCTGTGTGAGAGATCTGCATGTGTGTTCGTGCTTTCTGGTGTGAGAAGGATATGCAGGCATGATGGGACGGCAGTTCTCTGTTTCTGTGATAACTTATTTGGACATACAGAATATTTTTGAGAAACAGAAGTATTTTTTTATAAATGTTCTGTATCTTCAGATAAGTGCTAGTCTTTATGTTGCTTTAAGCCTAGTCAGTTTGTGACATTTATTGCCTGAAGCTTGGAATGTGCTTCTTGTGTTACTAAGGAATGTAGAGATAATGATGGATATTACTTTACATTTTCAGTTGATAAGAAACTTCAGTTGAAATCCAGCATTAAATAAGGGTCAGACAATAGGATGTGTGGCATGTTCCTTTATTTCTGCCTGTCTCAACTATCAAGAGAGATGGGAGAAACTGCTGGTCCCACTAGTATCAAAGCTCATATTGAATATAGACTATGAGCATATTATTAAAAAGGCCTGAATACTGAGATGAAAAGTCTTATGTGTTATTAATGTGAGGTCCAAAATGATCTTGTATCATAGATTTATGAGCAAATTATTACTTAGTAAAATTATAGACATTTCAATGACAAAATTTTTCTGCCTTAGTTTAGGAGGAAAAAACTGTGTAACAGGCACCTGCTTTTTTCATTTTTCTGAATGAAAATGAAACCATGAAAAATGGTATCTCATGTTGCATAATGCTGAGATTTTGGATCTTACAAACGCTTGATCCAGGATTAAAATTTTTCTCATGACCTTCTGTTGTATACGCAGTCATTCTGTCCAGCGGTAATTACAGAACTAGAACAATTATGTAAATGTATCATGTCCCATTGAGGAGTTTTTGCAAAGCAAAACATATATTTCTTTTAAAGTACATTCCCCCAGTTGTTTCATTAAATCAGTATTTTAAAGGACACTTTCTGTTCTTTACTTTTATTTAAAAACACAGTCCTGTGTTTGAGATGATGTGTAATCCCCTTAGCACTATTTTAAATGATAGAGGGGGTCTCTTTCTTTCACTGAGTGGTCTGCGATTTTGATTAAGGCGTCATTAGTCCTCTAAGTATTATACTCATGCTGTGCCAGTAAATTGAATTTCCTTCTTTCAAACACTTGGCACGCCACCATGAAACCTAGATCACAAATTCTCAGCACTATGCTACAAGTTGTTTTTGGTTTGTTTTGGGTTTTTTTTTTTTGAAACTTGTTAAAGGCAAGCATTTCTTTACAAGTTTTGGTCATTGGTCTACAGTGCCATTTTAATGACTCTTGACAGCAAATCTTTATAATGTTGCTTTTGCCAAATCATGCATTACATTTGAAAACCAACTTAAGAATCCAGCTAATATACTTTGGCTACTGCATTCAGGCTGGAATCTCAAAACTGCTTAAGCAATTTAAACATGAATTTGAATCGTTTTGTTTTTGTTTTGTTTTACTAGAGTGAGATTTCGGAATCATTCTGTAATCTTCAGAATTTTTCACTGCAGTATACAGCTTATATTTATTCAAGGCATGTAAATAATTACACTAATTTACTACACTAATTTAATTTACCCTGCAGTTATACCTCTTTCAGGAGGTTGATAACTTCAAGCTAGTCAGTGTTTTTTCTACTTATAAAATTTGAATAAGGTGGAGAATCTTTCAACAGTCAAGTTTAGAAGTGAATTGCCACTGTTCTGCTAGCTCTGTTCTGTTGCATTGTGTCTTCTGTTTTCTATAACTTCCTTCAGTAACTAAATGTCAGGGTTTGAGTAAGGTGAAGATGGTGTCAGACTGGTCTGAAAGGTGCATGGTGATAGGACAAGAAGTCACAGAGGTTGCAATAGGAGAAATCCTGATGAGATACAAGAGAGAGAGAGAAAAAAAAGCGCAGTTGTTAAGCTTAGAAATTCATTTGACAAGTGTCTTGATCAAAAGTTGAATTGTGATTATCTCCAATTATGGTATGATTCCTTTTGCGAGCAGTGATGTTGCTTCATCTCTTACTGTCTTTAAAACAGTCTGACAATAGTTGTGAAAAAAAAAAAAAAATTGTTCCCAAGAAGCTTAAGTTTCTGGCAGAGACATTTGCCCGCTTTGGTTTTGATTGTCATTGCTCAGGAACTGGTATGCATAAACTAAGAACATACTCAGAATCTATATATATGACTTATCTTTCAGTGGGAAGACAACCTGAAAAGCCATGATAATTTGTCTTTCCTCTTAATGGAGTCACATATTGCCTGGATGCTGATGTTTTCTGAACAGCGGTTAAGAAATGATACAGTATAGATTTTCATAATGCCATATTAATTCTTGCTGTTGTGTAGCATTTACCTTTGTGTTGAGTGTTCTTTTAGTACTTCTCTGTCTATCAGCTAGACATTTTTCCCTTTTAAGATTTTGCTGTTGAAGGAAAAACAATTTGATCATTGACTGTTAGCAATGTATCTTTATCTTGCTAGGTCATTCAGGCCTGATTTTGTCCTTGTTCGACAACATTCATTCAGTATGGCAGAAAATGAAGATTTCCGTAACTTGATCATTGGAATGCAGTACGCAGGCATCCCTAGCGTCAACTCCCTGGAATCAATCTATAACTTCTGTGACAAACCGTGGGTGGTAAGTGATGTACTGAAAAGTTCTTCTGGTGCAAAAACAGTTAGTGACTTATTTTTGTTTGCTTGTTTAATTCCCTTTCATGAATATTGAGTATCAAACTGCAGAGTTACTTAGCAGAGCAGTGAAGCAATAGTGAAAGGAATAAAAAGTAAGCTAGGATATTTAAATCATTTTTTCAAAGAGCCAGTGTAGGCAGTGTGGAGACAGAGAAAAAAATATTTGTAGTACAAATAATGAAATAAGTGAGGAAAATAACGGAAAGCCTATCCACTGCTAACATACTTCCTCAAGTGAGGAAAGTGTGTTTATTCACAATTTGTCTGGGAAAAGCAAGCTGAGAATATTTTTCATATTTGTGGTTTTGAACGTAGTTTAAACAGACTTTTAGCCAGTGTTTTCCTCATGCCTGTGAAATTTTTGGGGCTATGCTTTAGCAAGGAAATCTGAAGCTAGTAGTTTCCTCATTTGAAAGCTCTTTTCATAATCTTGTGCATATGGGGTAGGAGTTAGTCTTTTCAGTTACACCTAGAGTAATGAGGTACACTGGAGAATCACAGATATTTGCCAGTTTTAGTGTAGAAGCCAATTCGGTTTTTCATTACATGCTTTGTAGTGATGGAGGTAGAATTTGGTTCGTGGAGAACTAAACATTAGTAGCAACAAATTAAAATAGGGTGCTGTAAAAGTTGATTATCAATGGTGCAATCACTGTTCCTTTAATAGATGTACTCAGTTGCACAAGAGCTAATGAACCTTTAAAGAATACCACTTGTTATAAACAGCCAAAGCTTCATAACTTTTTCCTCTGATGTCTGGGTAAGAAAAAAACAGTTGTCACACCGATGGGAAGTTTTACTCTAATACTTTTAATAAAAAGATCATTGGAATGCAGTACGCAGGCATCCCTAGCGTCAACTCCCTGGAATCAATCTATAACTTCTGTGACAAACCGTGCGTGGTAAGTGATGTACTGAAAAGTTCTTCTGGTGCAAAAACAGTTAGTGAAGATGTTTATTTTTTCACACTAACTATGAAAATCCCTCCAAAAAATTGTCAGCAGATTTTAACATAGACCTCTTTCAGCTAATTTTATCATACTTTTATGTCACAATAAACTACAGTGGGGAATGAATAATTGATAGTGCATTTATAACTTCTCAGAATACATATTGTACATTGCTGAATCCATTATTTTAATAGATCACATTTTCTATGCTCTGTGGCATTTCTTAATGCTTTGACTCATTGTATGCAATAAAGCTGGGTGATGAAGCAATAACGGTAGCATTTATATGCAATAATGATGCAATAAAAAGTAAATTAATAATTCCTCCTTGTAATATTCTTCTGGTGGCATTAGTGTCATGGCTGTTCTTCCACCAAACCAATAAAGGTATATCTTTGTTACAACTGGTCTTGTTGCACCTAAAATTTCTCTGCTGATTTTTCACTCTTATAATAATTACTGGGAGTAACTAGGAGTTTTAGGAATATTTACTATAATAACTGGAAGACCTGGCAAAACCAAATACAAGGTTACGTGTGTAAAATAATTGTCACGATCCATATCATTTTTGTTGTTGTTCTATACAGTACACCTCACAAACAAATAATAAAAGTATTCTGCTTATAAGGTCTTATTCGAATTTAGAGTTATAATAATATGAAAATAGTCTTGAATTATGGTAGAGCTTTTTTAAGGTGTGACGTAACAGTTCATGATGAAATGTCTCTCTTCTGAATTGAAATATCTGTATCTTTGTTTTTTGCAAAAATTCCCTTTTTGGCTGAAATTTCTGTAGTTCGTCTCAGCCTAGATATGAATGAAATGAAAATGTTTTTAAGCTGATCTTATTTTAATTGAACATCATAGAGAAGAATGATTTTTTTTTTCCTTTGAGATTTTTCTACCTTGCCATTCCTACATCTGACAGCCAAAATACATTCTGTTTGAAATACTCACATTTTGCACAGCCTCAGCAAGAGTCCACTTCACATCTCTTCTTAGGTATTTCCTCTCAGAAATAACTATTCTATAGACATTTTAAAGTGTCAGACAGGTCACGTGATTCAAACTAGCATCTTTCACGTTTTAATTATCTTCTGTAGTTTCCTGAAGTGGTTTTCGTTAAGGTGCATAATAGAGTGAGCAGGGCCTGAGTGTATGTCCCCCACTGCAAGTCCATGGGCAATGAGGCTGAGTAGGCTTTGTTCACGTGTTGTGAACATGATCGTGCTTTGTTCCACCAATGGCCTCAATTCTGTTTTACACGCGCTACCTGTGACCATAAGGGAAGCCTGCAAAAGTGTGATTGGTTCCCATTCTGAATATGTGGTGGCACTGTACTTTAGTTGGATCCTACTTAGGAGTGTGGACTTTTAATTTGAGCACAAAAGTAGTTTCTGTACAAACATGAGGGGGCTTGTTTGGGCATTTAACTTGAAATATCTTTACTTCTGTTCTTTACGGTAGTGGGAGATGTAGAGACAACCATGTTCATCCCAGAGCATCATGGAATCTTCATCAGATTTAGGAAGGGTAAACTCTGCAAGAAGTCATGCAAACCTGTTTCAACACAAGCTCAGAATAAATACTCTGAGGGTAAAAATCCATTGATCCTTTGATTCAGCCAATTTCATGAATGTTCAAATAATGCAACAGAATCCAGGGACTGTTGGTTTTGCTAAAACTATCTTCTAGCTTTTTTGATTATACCTAACTCATACATGCTACCCTGCCTATGTGAAATCCCTGCTGCAAACTGCAGGCTAGTTTTGGGTGCCTTAGGGTGCACTCCTCAAACTGTTGCTGCATGCTACAAGCATAAAAGCCATTGGTGCCCATACTGTGCTCCTAGATGTGCTTTATGCCAGTGAATCAAGCAGTGTTCCCCACTGTTAAAATGACACATATTTAAACTGAACTGATACAAACTTAGCTGAACTGTAACTAGAAAAAACTAGCAGAATTATTCTGCAAGTTCCTTGGTCAGAAACCAGTTCAACATTTACAGTGCTGATTAAAGGTATTGAACCACCTGCCAGTCTCATCTGTTATATACCAAACTTTATGATTTGGTGAAACTGAAGTTGTACGTTTGCAGTTCAGATGATTTTGTTATTTAAATTTCTGTCTTTTTCATCATGGCTTAAGTACTAGAATTCCCTCTAATTCTGATTATGTTTTATATTATTTGTAGTCTTAACATTCATATAAAAAGAAAAGTAGGTTCCACTTCATACACATATATGTATCTTTTCATAAAGTACATCCTACTGTCAGAAAGAATTTCAGAAGACATTCAGCAGTCACAAGTGTCCATGTCACTTTTGCAGTAGTGCAAGTGAGCAAGCACGTGCTTAGTCTTACCATCAGTTAGCCCCCTTTCTGCATAGCATGTACAGGATGCCTTTCTGGACAATTCCTTTGTTAACACGGATGACCTGATACTTTTATGAAAACTGTTTCTATAAAAATTGCAAGTTCAAAAGCCGTATGAAAAATCAGAAATCAGAACTCTAGATAAAGCCGTAAGTAACAATCTTTATTAATTGATGAGGAATAGATTGACTTTCCTGCAGGTAAAATTTGAGTGGCAGAGGTGAATTGCAGTTTCTATAATAGCAGAAAAAAAATATGGTGTCCAATGGAATGGGCCTTTAAGGGATGAAAAATTATTGAATTAGTCATGGGCAATTGTTCTTACTTACATCAGTGTAAAATCAGGAGTAGTATAGAACTGCTAGGAGGGGAAGTCAGGAAAGTTAGACTAGTTATAAAAGGGCTACTGAATAAAATGAGAGTTAGAATCCAATATACAAGATCTTTGGTTTTTAAAATACTGTTTTTTAGAGTATCAGGTCTTTGCTTTTTTTAAAACATACAGCTCCAGATGCACAACCCTGAGGACAGATCCACACCCTACATTAGAAATTGAAGCACCTGCCTTTAATTTTTCAGCAGAACTCTTCTCGTACTGTGTCTGCAGACACACATGGGTTTCTGTGTCTTTGCCAATAGACAGTCAGCAAATTTGTATTTGATCTGAGGTATATTACTGAAAGATGGGGGTGGGGTGGGAAGGTTGCTAGGAACATACTAAGAACATTTCTGAAAACAAGTCTTACAGCTTGTGTTTTCTGGTGTCAGGACATACATAGTTTCTTCGAAAGCATGTCAAAATTTCAAAGCACTGTGTAACCTTTTGAAAAGTTAGGACGCTAGCAACCATGGCGAAGAAAATATTGAAATGAATGTGTGGGGCGAGATGTTTGCATACTGAAATATGTTAATGATTTGGGATTACTACAATACTGTTATTTCATGTCTGTGATAATACTTACCACCTACCTCATGAAAAATTCATGATCCTGGCTTGTGAGATGGATTTCACTTAAATGCTAGTAAGAATGTCAGAAAGCTACTTACCTGGGGGTAGGAAGCATGAGTTTTATAAATAAAGACTATGTTCTTTGTTAGTGAGCACATGCAGAGATGTGGAAGAAGTGTTTTAAGGTTCATACCCTGTCTTACCATGGTGGAACGTTTCATTACATTGTCATGTTGCAAAGTAATAGTCTTGTGCATGACTTGTGCCATTCACATGAGATAAAAATTTTACCTAGTTTAATTTACAGTTACATCGAGTTAAGGTGAGGCAAAAATGTATACTTTCCTTGTTGGATTTGTCATCCATCTTACACTCATGTCTAATGATATGCAGAACCTATTGTAAAGCATTTATGAAAGTTTTATAATAGTAAAAAGAAAAAAAAAAGAGCATAATTAATTACCCAAAGTTATGATTTGATATTATTTAAAGTAACAATCTAGATATTTTATTATTTCTCTTTTCCTTTAGAAAATGTAATTAAAGAAATAAGTGAGACATTCCTTAACTGAGGTGTATGAGATTGTGTGTAATCTTTCCGATAATACACGATGTAGGTAAGCGAAGTAAGTAACTGCAGAGGCTGGAAGTAATGGGAAAATGTGATGA